AGAAAATAAATAAAACTTTCCAGGATTAGTAAATGCAAAATTTACTATAAGAATTCTTTATAATCTCAGGATTATTAAAATAACTAAGTTAGCAGCTTATGTTAAATAGCCTACGCATAAATTATTGAACACTAGTTTAAATTCTCCACATTTTAGCTACTTAATGTAAGATGCCTGTTCATTGTAGGATCTGTAGAATGAAACATGACATGCCCATATTCTTCCTGATTTATAGAAACTACTGTAAGAACTTAAAGCTTATCTGATTTTTAGGAATGATGTGGTAGGCTAACTGCAGGTACTAAGTGTCATGGTAGATGCATGGCTTCCAGCTGCTGGCCCAGGGTGGTGCAGGTCTCTGGTGGCATAGGTTCTGCAAGACCAGATCTCTCCAGGTGTTCCTGGAGCACTCAAAATATTACTACACATTTATGTTCAGCACTTGACCTGCAGTGTCTTCTCAACTCTGAATGCCCAGTGTCTAGCACTACATGGGGCAAGAACAATGCCATGGTAGTTTCTAGGTAGTTCTCATGAGCTTTTTACTATCAGCATTTGATTTTGCAGTTGCTTACAAGTGAAGGAGACTTCTCAAGAACATAAGGAAGTAACAGGCTTTAAAAGTGGGCAGAGTAAAACCATGCAGTATTTCAGATGTGTGTATATATAAAGTAACACTGGCTGTTGTAAAATGGGAAATAGAACAGGCATTGTTTCTTGTAGAAGGAGAAACAAAACATCAGCATGAGGCTCTAGAGGCTGAAGTCCTGATGCCCACGTTTGCCACAGACATTCTCTGTGCTGAATATATACCTCTCAGGAGCTGTTCACCTAGAGCTTGTCATTTTGTCTCCTCTGGTGGAATAAACAGCTTATTAGCTTTGTCTCAGCAGCAGGCTAATGTAGTCACACAGGCTTTGGACAAGAGCAGACGTGCACCTTGCCATTGGCCCAGAGATGGCCACAGGGTGAAACAGGCAGCTGGTGGGACCACGGCTATGTTGGGAAACGGCTCAGTCCTCAGAGTGAAAGAAATCCATGGCTCTGAAAGGTCATCCCACACAAGCAGACACTCTGCTGTGACTTCCAGTCAGGCTGCACTTCATGTCAACCACACCGAACAATGAGCAGAAATGGCACAACTGGCACGCTTGCCAGGATTTCCTGTCTGCCAATGGTCACTGCTTACTTAACCGCGAATTAAAACAACTTTTACCACTTTTTCCTAAATACTGACAAAAATTATCCATATGTATCAATTTTTAGTAAAAACAGATTAACCGGTTGCACATGATCTTTTCCTCCTTAATCTCTCACAAAAGATAGGAAAAATTATTTATGAGAAGTACGCTACATCCAAAATTAATTTCATATATATGCTGTTAATAGAAATGGCTCTGCTATAGATTGTGCTATAGTAAAAATAATATTTGTAATAAGAATTATTCAAGCAGATAAACTCAGTGCGGGGGGAAAAAAACGACAAAATTCCTAGCGTACAGGGTTTGGAAAGGCTTATCCCTTTTGTCCACAAAACCTGACCCCATTAGTTGGTCTGATAAAAGTAATTCTTCCTACTTCTTCCTTGGTTGCCTCTTTGATATCCTTCAACTGTTGGGGCAACAGCATTATTGCAAATTACTATCAAATTACACAATTTATACTTTTTTTGCATAACATTTCAGAATCCACTTAGTATTCTTGTTTAAGTGGTGAATGCAGTTTAGAAGGGGGGAAAATACTAATTTACATTTTTAATTACCTTCTAACATAGAAAGGACATTGTCAGTGTGAAATGTAGGGAATGCGAGATGGCTGAGAATGGAATGATCTTGCCACATTTAAGCATGCATGATCTGCTTGCACGGAAAAAGGTTAGAGAGCAACAAATTCTCAGTTTATTTCAGTAACAAAGGAAGGCTGGCTAGGATAGAAAGTTTCTGGGGGAAAAGCATTAGCCCATATGTACAGAGCAGCCTCTGGTGGTCTAAGAAAACATGGTAATGTTCATAACTAAGGACAGAAATATGTTTTTTAAAAGGATGTATGTACATATTTAGCTATTTTACTCAATCCTCCACTCAACACATTAAAAACCAGATGCTTTTAAAATGATCTGTCGATACGCTTGTTAAAATCTGAACAGTAAGAGTATTAAAATTCATATGCATTCATTAGCACATTATATAAAAATAAAATGTGTTTAATCATTCCATAAAAGTATTGTAGTCAATGCTGATTATCAAAAAGTTTTTTTTCCTGGTTTGCATTGCTAAAATTGAAATAAAATTTACAAGAGTGTTACAGAATTGATGACATTTTCTGTCTTCACTTGTGAATTCAGTTGGCAGATGTTTTCAAGAACAAAAAAATCTGTCTTATTGCAAAACATATTAAGCAGGTTTTCTTGCCATAATGTTTGACATGATGTTTATTACCCAGACCAAATCAGTTCCTTTAACAAGCCACAATGAATGCCAGAAAGTACATTATTTCATAGTTAAGAAAACTTCCAGCAAGAAACAGTAAGTACTTTGATTTTTCAAGAGCACTATGCTTAATGCATTACACACTGCCATAGTAGTTTTTATTTATATTCATTTTGTACAAAAATACAGTGCAGTTTGATATTTTATATTTTGAGACTCATCTTTTACATATTCTTCTATACCCCGGCTATTTTTTTTACTATGAAAATAAAGAAAATACTTAAACATAATTACCAAGGAAGAGTTCTAATTCTCAGGTTCTTGGAAAATCTAGCTGTACAACTGGGAACATCAACCAGACAGCTTTAATTTGTTCAAATGGCATTTCCTTATTAGATCACAACAGATCTCAGTGACCCTATGAGAACATAACTGAGGATATTTATTGGACTTACATTATATAAGCAACATATATTGGACTTATATTTATATAAGCAACAGTCCTTATATTTGTAAGGACTGTTGCTTAACAGTCTGAAACAATTTCTCCAGCATATTTGACACAACCATGTTTTTCCTTCCATGTTAGATAAGTTAAAGCCTTCCTGTGAGGAAATTTTTCGTCTAGTCTATCCATACTTTTTCCTACTTGGCAAAGTTGACACAAGGCCCGCTCAGGTTTTTCAAAACTCTTTGATGACGTCATTTCAAATAATATACCATCCTTAAATATCACTGTTGAGTACGGCATGTTTTATTTAAGAGCCTAGCGAGTCACATATATACTATACTATACAGTAAGACTGCATCTGAACTGCCCTTTGAGATCAGCCCAATCACCACCAACACAGCAGCCTGTAGAGGCCAGTCCCTGGGTGCACGCAGAGAGCAGTCCTGCAATATGGACTCAAGCACAGGAGGCAAGAAAATGGCAAATATGGCATTGCACCTCTCACAACCATCTACAGACTTAGCAGTCTGCCTACTGACGGTCCAGTTTTGTTTCAGAAATTGAGAAGCAAGGAAATTGCATTGGTTTGTCCTGCAATACAAAAAAGCAGTTATGTTTTTCTTTCCGTTTCAAAAAACTGTATTAGAGTCTACTAATTAAAAAAACCCCAAAATAATAATTTCAGAATACAATACCAAGCTCATTAGAAAACCCAATTTCAATTTATTAATCTGGGGAGGGAGACCACCAACCACACTCTCACAAAAACATATACTACTTTCCTGGATTTGAAGAAAATCAAATAAAGCAAACATCAACAGTCATATTTATAGCATGGAGCTATGCAGAAAGGAAAATGGAATGGAACAACATATTTTATATTTTGGGGGGGGTCAAACCTCCTGAAACCAAATTTCATGCCTCATGAGGCAAGAGTCATAAGAAGGTAGAATTGCTAAAAAGGTTATGAGAAAAAGGTTCACTTTCAACAAGGGAACACTGAACCTGTATGCTGACTAGACTTCTTTTCAGACAAAACAGCAGCACTGTCCTCTGGATTCTCATGGACCTTAAGTTAAAACTGGCTGCCCCTCTTAAGAAGAAGGGTTTGGCTAGTGGGTAGAATAGCATCTTATAAAACAGCTGCAAACAGAAAACACAGTGCCTTGTTGGTGACTTTGAATATATATTTGCATTCCTTTGTTTCCCATACTCAGGTATTTTTCAATACACAGTAAATATTTATGGCATTACCGACAATCTCGTATCCAAGTTACTAACCCTTTTAACTAGCCAGCACAGTTACATTTCTTCTACAAAAACTGTTATGCTAAAAAAAAATTAGCAGGGGAATATTAAAATTTAAGATGATTCTAACATGTACCTTAGTGGATTTTTCTCTGTTTCTCACCACAATGACATACATTTTTTTTGTTTTACCTTCATTGTGGAGTTTCTAATGTATTTTATTGCTGAATGAAAATGCAAACTTTCATAATAAGGGTTTTGGAAATTGTATGATTCAGTCTGGAATATATAATGCATAGTATGTACACAAAGCAGAATGTGCCAATGTGCAAGTAATATTGTTTGTGCCCCCTGCAGAATTAGAAATCCTCGGGTAGCACTGTTATAATGATCCCATGCTGGTAGCATTACAAAGTGCAAAGGTTCACTGAGTCAGAAAAGGGCAAGGGACATAGTTTCTTCATCATACAATTCTCAAATTATTCCAGCTTAAATATTTATTAACATATTAGCAAGTTTCCTCCTTTATCTGCCTCCAAAAGTTTAGCTCAAACACAATGGATGGCTGCTCACATAAAAACAATACATTACAGAGTAAATTTGCTACCACACAAGATGAACACTGGTATTTTCCATAATACATTATTAATTTGGCAGGTGATAGAAACTATCAGGCTGTAACTACTGATTCCCATGTAATGCATACATGTCATGTATGCATTTAGAATACAATAAATGCATACATGACGTGTGAAGGTAGTTTTCAGTAAGATATATGTTTTTAACAAAGCATGCTATTTATTAGCCAATATAGGCAGTAAAAATACATATGCATCAATAAAGAACAGCAAACAAAACAAAAAGAAACTTACTCTAATATAGATCTGCATAGTTTCTTTTTCTTTTTGTGGATTTCGATACTTTTCATAGAAGTCACGTCGCTTCTTTGTTTCCTTCTGGATTTTATCTTTCCTTTCTCTCTTTTCTGCAGGTTCATCTGAGATATCAGAAGACAGCTGTACTTGGGCTTTGGTCTTCTCAATTTCAATATAGTTCTCATTGGGATTCAGAACTATTACTCCATAGCCTTCCTGTTTTAGAAGAAAGTCACACACACACACACACACACACGCACATACACAAACAAGAAGAAAAGTGAAAAGGGGAATTTAATGCTTGAAAATGCTTTGCATTTACTTTAATGCTCTCTAGAACTTTTTTTATTTATTTCACTAACTTCATACAACATCATTTTATAGAAGGGTTTTAAAGAATATTCTGTCATTAAAGGGATATTGATGTGTGAATATATATCAGAGCATGTACTTAGGCTCATACACAATCCTCAGCATCAAAAAAGTTGCCTGTTTTACCTTTAAAATAATTTAATATATTGTTTTATTCACAAGCACTTTATATGATTTTTTCAGAAAACAATACAGGAACTGAAAGCAAAATGTTGCTTTAAGAACTTTACGCAATAATGAATAAAAAGCTTTATGCCCAGACAGTAAAAACCTTTAAAATAAAAAGGATTGAGAAATTTTATATATAAAGATAGATACACTGAAGAAAGCATGTGGAAATTATTCACCACATTTTAAAATAGTAAAATCTTTTGTCTAGCTGACAATAAGCATACCAAGCGGAGGCAAACAGCAGCAGTAACAATAAATCAATACCAAAACTGATTCAGTGGTGTTGCTTACAAGTCAACTCTTTATGGTGGGTCTGACTTTTTAGTGCATCTTTAAATCTGCTGTAAAAGTTCACTAGAATTATTTTGTATATTCAACAAATGCAGAGCAAATTTGTGACCTGCAGGATGCTTGTGAGCGTATAAGGTACTTTTTTTTGTCTCAGGAAATGAGCTGGTTGAAAAAAATATTTATGAATAAAAAACAAATCTTGAATAAATCAGCCAATCAAATGTTACGACTTTTAAGTGACGGCAAATCACAAAACATCATAATATTTATGTAAGATATAATTGTAAAGGGAAGGGAAAAAAGAGAAGCACATATATTTAACAGATGTGTCCCTAAAGCTAGCATGAGCTCCCAGTCAAAATCAAGCTATCCTTTAGAAGTACATTTTAATAAAGACTTACTTTTCAGGAACATCTATATTAATTATCTAACGTAACAGCTTTATTCCAGCTTCTCACTTGGTGCTTCATTTTGCACTCGGTCCTGCCATGAGGACCAAAAACGGTTCCCCATACCTATCTGCCCTGAGCAAACCAAGTCTACGCCAACAAAAGATACTTTATTTGGGTTTGCTTTATTCTATCCTGTAGAGCCATTCAAAAATCTTGTAGTTCATTGTGGCCACTGTCAGGTACACAGACTGTCACTCATTGATTTTCTACAGTTGGCCACATTTGACTAACTATCAAAATCACATCCGAAGGGAGTTCCTACCCCTTATCCTTGTGCCCTTCTCCAACGTCTGCCATAGCTTCTCCTCCCACCAAAAACCAAGTTAAAGGGCTGCACTCTGCTAAACAGGGTGAAATAGACGAATTCCGGACACTACCTCTGGCATAAGCAATGTAGTAAAAAAATGGTCACAACAGGCCAAAGAGAAAATTGTCTCCTTGTTAGATGCAGCACCATAAGGGGTCTCCTGTCCCATGATTGCCCTGTCCTGCCTGCCATGAATTCAACTGGGATAAATATAAACAAACATGCAAAAATATAAATAAACAATAAGGAAAGGGTGAAAGAAAACAGAAAGACAAATTTTAAAATCTATCCACACCACGCCTGGCCCTATTAATGCAAAATGCTGTACTATAAGCACATGAATTTTAAAGCTTGTAAAATTTCAAAGCCCAAACTTCATCATGGAGAAGAAGGTGGCTTACAAATCCTCCTAAACTGCACATCTCAGATGATAGTTTTTGAGCCTGCTACTGCTGGAGTTTTTGCAGTACTTGGCAGGCTGGTAGTTTTGGGGCTCTTCATCTTCTTGACCTGCTTGATCTGAGCAGAGACATTCTGTGTATAGATTTGTTTTGTTTTCTACTCGATGCAAAATGCAAAATTCATGAGTTTACATCAGATCTAGAAGTTTCAAACTTTGTGCACTTCAACCTGATCACAAAACAGTCACAAAAATCATCAGAGAAGTGGAATTTGTCTAAGTTATTGATCATGCAACTTAAAATTACATGACTCATTTGTCCCATTTTATGAGGACACAATGTCAATTTTTCACATAGACCTCAACAGGTGAAGTAAGATTCTATTTTTAAATTCACTGTTTTATAAATCAGTTAAAGGATTTTTATTGAATATATTTTAAGCACTGCAACATAACTTCCTTTATATTTTTTTCACAATTTCTCCCAGATAGCAAGCCTTTCCTGACAGTAGAATTAAAACAACTTAATAACTAAACTTTTCCCCCCCCTTCTATTATGGGAAAGCCTAAGTCTTTCCCTTTGGAAAGTAATCTCTTTCTGGACTGTTTTGCTTACATGATATGGTGTGTCTCCCTTTCCCTTGTACTTCTGCATCATAAATTTCAAGAAGAAAACAATGGCACGAGAAAGAAGATTTGAGAGTAACATATAAAAATCAACACAGAAAAACAAAACTACTGGTAAAAAAATCGCCAATTACAATCTCTCTCATTCAGCCTTTATCTGAGCATTTTCCACCAAAAAGAAATATTCTGCTCTAAATAACATCAGTGTAAACAATACGTCTTTTAACTTCAATTAATTTAAAAAAAAGTAATTTATGTGGGCATAGCTACACCATTCAAGTTCAGTGCAATCAGAAAATGAAAAAAAAGGTGGAGCACCAATGCAGTGAATTTGAGAAGCATGCAAGTCAATGCAAACCTCAGAACACAAGACCACTAATATCTTAAAAAAGGCCTTTAGCAAAATTTAATAACAGACAAGATAAAGTCTTCGGCATAACTGTTAACACAGACAAAAATCACATTCATTAAAAAGCATCATTTAAAATGAGAGTCCTGTTCGGAAACACTTCTTTGCATGCAGGACTGTATTAATCTTTTTTCACCATATGCATACTTCCTGCATGATAGAAAGTATTAAATATGGTATTACTATGTATTACTTTGCTATTTGTTAAATCAGTGTCACTAAAAATACCAATTTCAGCCATGATGAGCTTACATCATTATTAAAACATAGTGACCTATGACTTACTTAAGTACCAATCATCTAGGAGGGTTTCTAAATCTTGCCACACCCGGTGGTATTAAGTGGTATGCAAACATTAGGCAATAATAGTAGTTTTCAACATAATAACAGTAGTTTTCAATGTAATAGTTTTCTCCTCTGTGACCAGTGTGCACACAAAGAGAAACAACCCTACAAAAAGTTTTTTCACTATAAAAAGCTAAGCTTTAAGGACACTACCCCCTCATCCCCATCAATCTTCACCCATCAGTGTACCAGTGGTAAGACCTTATAATTATGGCAGACCCTGACAAGTGAAACTCCCAGCCTCTCATCTACAAAATTACAGTTTCTCTCTCAGACTAAAACACCCGATTAACATCTCTTCCCCTCACATGGTAATGCTTCAAGGTAAGTAAAATTTAATCTACACTAACTCCTACCATTCTCCAGGTAGCTGCTTCTGGAGGCTGAGGATTGTGATGATGAAAGGAAAAGCAGGCTTACTAAGTCAAGAGTTGGAAAGAATCATGAACCTCAGTTACAGTACATATACTACGAAGACAGAACAATGTAGAAGACCTTTTCCATTGCAATACATGAGTCAGAAATGGGGCAGTACTTTCTCTCGCTACTGGAAGTTCAAGGGGGTAAGCTTAAAAAAAAAAGAACCTCAAACTATTTGAGGTAAATTTCAAATAATTTGCAATCTCCTGCCTGGCGCACGAGTAATGAGCTGAAACCACTGCATATTAATCCACCAGGGCAGGATACAATACGTGACAAAATAAGTCAGAGCCAGAGAGGTATCTTTTGACCTATGTAACGACCTATGTAACCATCTTTTTGGACTGTGGGCGAGGATTTAAGAGAGATCATTTTCCTATGCTTGATCAACCTGAATTTTCAAGTTCAGGTTTCTATTTGGACGGTTGGCAGCAAGACCAGAATAAATTTCTTGGGGAAATGCAACTCAAAGCACACTGTTCTTAAACCTGCCTGTGGTTAAAACAAACACAGCAATGTCCATTCATCTTTCTGAAAGACGTATGCTCTGTTCATTTCCCATCTTTACTGCGAGAAGGGTACATCTATGTCACTATTGCGACACTGTAGGTGCAACAGCAGGATGAGGTCATGACAACCAATCAGAAGTCACTACTGAAGCGTTAAAAGTAAACATAGCTGTTGGAGATGCAGCTCAGCTTGAAAAATGCCCCCTCCATTATTTGAGCAATTTTCTCAAGACGTGACCTGTGACTGAAACGCCTGAAATGTCAGTTGATTCCGCTTTCTGTTTCCACACAATGTACATTTTGGCAACTGCACCCTGCTAACACTGTGATATTTCCATCCCAGATATACCTCAGCTGCTTGAATTCCAGCACTGTGTCCAAATGAGTAAAAATGCCATGCTTCTGCCAAACAAACTTTCTCCTGCTAAGTTCCAAACTTAAAACAGCTCATCAGGTTAGGCAGGAAAAGAAAACGTACCACAAAAAGATTTTAGAGGACCACCTGTTGTCTATTATTTTTACATAGCACTTACTCATAAATCATAACACACGGTAATTAATCAAGCTGTCAAAGAGAAGGTCAAAGGTTATGTGGGCGAGTCAGAAGGTCATGCATGGGCTGATAGAGGTCAGGGTCACACTGCATTCCTCATTATCAAGTTGGGATGAGGGACGGCCCAAGCAAACAAAAGTGAAAGCAGATGGAGAACTGAGTAGATAAAAAAGAGGAGAAAATTTCACAAACAAAAAGAAGTGAAAGAATGTGAGTTACCTTCAAACAAGGAGGAGAACAGAACAGAAATACACTGAGATGTTCTCAAAAGACTGCACATAATACAGAGAAACTACAGTTTGATTATTTAAATACATTTGCTATAACTTTCCGTCCAATTTTTTTGCAAATACTAAGCAA